TACGCGAACGGTTGGCTGTGGCTATAATTAGTCGCGCATCTGAAATTATCCCGAGGGATTTAATTAGCGTTTTCCCATAGACTCTCCGAGACGGTATGCCGGGTTCTTGTCGTACAGATAAGAAAGTCCTATCCCGGGAAGCCGGGACCCGGAACCTGGAGCCAAGAAGAAGACGATCCCGTGTCTGGAAGCTGTTTTAGTTCCCAATTACTGGAAACACTCGCGATACCGGGGAGAAGTGTTGAAGGGGATGCTCGAGCAGGGGTTGCGTGCTAGTATAGAGGGGTAGATGGGTATAGGTATATCTTAATACGTGGCTATGGAGATGGTGGCTGGGTCGGTCAGGTTCACGGTTAGGGGTTTGGTGTGAAAGGAGGAGGAGGGTGGATTTCGTGGGTCCAGGGTGGTGGCAGCCACTGAAGTCGGTATAACTACGGAGGAGGGTCTGGACGGGATATTACACGGGGATGAGGTCTGGCCAGGAGGGTTGAGCTCGTTGGTACGAGAAGCTAGGGGTTGTTACCCTGGTGCAGAGAACTGGCTAGATGGGAAGCGAGTAAGACTGCACGAGAGAAATAGGTTGATGTTTATATATATATATATATAAATGTATAGCTATAGAGAAAGAGTAAGGGAGAGAGGGAGTGAGACACAGGACGTTCCAGGACGGTCGCCAAGGGACGCTTCAACGCAACGAGCACCTTATCTGCGCTACACCTCCGCCTACAAAGAGCAGCCCAACCTATCTGGCTTTACTGCCCTCGGCCTCTGGCAAAATAAACTACTCGGCCTTGCTGAAGCAAATGTAATTACCGGCCCCAGCGCCTACAGCCTTAGCGGGGCCTGAGGGATTCGAATGGGTACAGTGAGATTTTCAAATTTCCCGCCATTCTTTATCCCTTGCACGTTACACAATATTTATGCTTATGCGTGGGTGTGTGTATATATATTGGACAAAAATTCTATACACCCATTTTACTCGCTTCTCTCGTTCGTCCATTTTTAATTGCATTGCCATTTGCCCGCGGATATCCGCACTCCGTGCCCTTTCGAGGAATGCTGCCATTTATAAATCCTCGTTTCTCCCCGCTCCCTCGTGCCCGGGGGTTACGTGCGTACGTAGATACAGTCCGTCCCGTAGGTTCGTGCTTTATAAATGTCCCCGAGCAATAAAGTGGCAGGATGGATTAGCCCGTGGGGTTGGCATTCCTGGTAGCCGTCGTATCTATTCTGGTTTCTGGTGATTTGAAGCCGGGCACGCGCGCCCTATGAATCAATCAGGTGCCTCCGCGCGGCTTCCTTTCCGCTCCGCGTCCGTTACCCGACTGCCGAGACTCTCTTCAACGCTCCTTTAATCTGCCAAGAGAAGGACTCCGGAGGTTAAGGCAGACCAGGGGAACGAACGCACGCGGACGGACGCTTCGTTTGGAGGTTACGTTCGGATTACCGTGGTGAATTTATCGCGCGTTAGTTACCAGCCGCCGCCGACTGTGCTGCCATCTATGCGCACGCTATGACACATCGGGAACGCGATACCTTTCTTGGTTAGTTGCTTTTTTTTTTCCTTTCCACCTCTCATCTCTCACCATTAACATCGTCTACTCGGGCTGGTACAGTCGGGAGGAAAAATTCTTTAATACGCTATTGCGAATCAATGCTGTTTCACTGTAAACAACGTGGCCATTGTTTCTAGCCGGTGTACGCGACCAACAGTGAATTTCGACTCCCGGAACCGTCTTAGGGGTCTTCTCCCTCGGAGCTTCACGTACCTTCTTAACCGCGCTGTGACAGACCCGGCATCTTTCACTGTCCTGAGAATTCACGTACGTCTCATAAATAGTACCCTGTTCCATCGCCAGGATATTCCCGGGTTACCCTATCGCGTCTTCTTCTCATCCTCAAAAATCTCGTACGGCTTTCTCTCTCTCTCTCTCTGTCTTTCTTATCCTCGTTTCAGTCTTCTCACTCTCTCCCACTCATCGGAAACTCCTCGCGCTACCAGACCTCCACGTAACACCACTGACGTTTTCCAATATTCCGAACTGCACTGATTCCATCTGGGGTCCCCTCGAACTCGCGTCGCCTAACCTAAAATCAAACCCAATCCTCGGGTCTCGGTCGTCCATTCCGTTCGGGACGTCGTACGTGGCCAAAGGGGATTTTCCAAGGGTAAGACGATCGCATCGCGATACGCGGCTATTTTAGTGTCTTTCGGGATTACATCGATACGCTTACGCGTACGAAGTAAAATATTTGATTATTGGAAAAATTTTGTGGTTTTACACGATTTTCGATTTTACCTTTCTTTTTTTTTTTCTTTTCTCCACGAATCTTCGTATTTTCGTCGATCGGATTACCCAAGCTTATCGAAATTTCACCTTTCGGCTCGTCCTGGTTACGACCACGCGTTTATGCGGCTATCCGTGGAAACTGGCGCGAAATATGGTACGCGCATGCGCAGAAGTCTACGGCGTGGAATTGTTGTGCGTCGACCTTTACCTAACAACCCCCCACCCGGTACATCCTCACGGTTTCTCACTCTTGCATTCCCTCCCTCTCGCCACCACCACCGACCTCCACCAGAACCACCCTCGTCGGCAACCCTGACCTGATTTATGGGATTCTGGAAGCGTCTACCCTGGCGACGTGCGTTTTCGGAGGGGACCCCGCGGACAGCTGGCTAGTGTTTTCATGAGTGCGACCGGCAGCAACGACAACGGCAGTCTATACCAAGGCGAGAAAATTGGATGGATCGAATTTACGTCTAGTCGATTTTATTAAATCATTATATACCACACACGTGTACCCGTGCCCCTTCATCTCTCGATTGGGAGTACTTAATTATTCGTGGAAGGATTCTGTATTTTTTTTTTTCTTTTAAATCGATAAACTCTGTTGAAATATGTAGATACGTTCGTCGATCGAATGTCCGCCGATCCATACGACATTATACGTATCAGCGGGTATATCGAAAATTTATATAGACAACCTGAATATTTCAGAAGCGCAGGGCAACCAGGTGCCACTTTAATAAGGCAATCGTGTACGCGTATTTTTCGTGGATATTAAAAAAAAAAAAAAATCACATTTATCGACAAGTTCCACTTAAATCGTCGCAGACGTAAAATAAATACATTATCGTCGATAACCATTGGATGGTGCATGACGTTGACCCGCTGTCTGTTTTATTCAGAATGAAGTGCAGAATGGGCAAAGACTCCGGTTTCAGATTTTTTGCTGCAACCCATAAATGCTCGCATACGGTACGTCAAGTGAGGTTTGCTGTTTGTCTACGAAAAATTTAGACTGATTTTTTCTATTTGTCCTTTTTTTTCCCCCACTCTTTCCATCTCACTCGCACAGCAGTTAGGTCGTAACTGTGCGGAGCGTAGCCAAAGTGAATATCTTTTTTTCCTTCTCTCTCTCTCTCTCTCCTCGTTCCCTCTCGAAAAATCAGGCACGAGGGACACAAAGGCGAATGATTTGTGTCGTTCGCCATTCTTTTGACCGCGTCGCGGCGCGCCGGTAGATATGGCTGGGTAATATACGAGGCCTGCATCTGTTCCCGTAGTGACGCAACGTCCCGCCATAGATCACAGCCAGGCTTTTAGAGAGTGAAGGCTGTTAAGGAGAGTGGCGGTGGTGGTGCTGCTGGTGGTAAGAGAGCAAGGAAGAGGAGAGAGAGGAAGAGAGAGAGAGAGAGTGAGAGGGAAGATGCAGCAAGCGTGAGGGTGCTTCTCTCTTCGAAGAGGTCCAACACCGACGCAAGACGACGCGACGCAAGCGTCGGGCTGACGTACTGTTACTCTTAAAAGTTCTCGTCCTCTCTTGCCTACTTACCTAGCTACCTAAGAAAAGCAAAGTGCACCCATGGCTACGTTACGTACTTGGGTGTTACGTAGTGAGAGAGAAAGGGATGGATAGATCAGCCGGAGGTTCGGGCGACTATACGACGGAGGCTGGTGGGGGATGGACCAGGGAGAATGGATTTCTCGAGGAAATTACTATGCGATTCTTCGCAGGAAATGGAGACGGAAAGTGTGCGAAATCTGGAGCAGCGTAGTGGGAAGAAATTTTTTTTTCTTCCCTTCATTTACAATATCTAAGGTATGGTTGCGGAGTGACGATCACGATGGTTGGGTAAAAAATTTTGAAAATTTTTGTAAGCCAATTTTTGGCAAAATCAAAAGGGAGATTTGGGATTAATGCACGGGGCCCCGAGAGCCGCTCGCTACGTCCCTGTCTCCGAGACATAACACGGCGGCCCATTGAGGAGAGATATACGAGCGTGAGTTTGTTTGCGCTTATGGGCCACGTCTGGAAGATGGTAGAGGTGGATGATGGCCGCTGATGGTGGTATGTATAGGTAAACGTAATAGGGACTGAGGGGGTAGGCATGGGGTGTTGGTATGGTTTTATCGGGACACCCTTATGCCTATTATTTCTCCAGCTACCCTGCGCCTCCTCGGCACCCCAAGCGGCGGGGTGACGCACCGCGCGAATTAAAACGGCTCATAAATATCTGAAACAAAGGCGGACCGCTTTTTTTTTTTTTTTGGGGGGG